TCGTGGAATTTTAGTATACTATTCTACAATTCTTGACTTATCCTGAAAAATGTAGCTTCTTATGAGAAATGTTTTGGCGTGCCTATATTTAAGACCTAATACTCTTTGACAATATATTGGATTACCATTTATCACATTTATTTAAGCTTATTGTTAATATAGTGAAACTAATAATCAAACTTACATTCATTATGTTATAACTAAGCAGTGCACAGACAACTGGATGAATAATCAAGAGAGCAAGGTAGACCGATTTGATTGGAGCAATAATACAGGAACATCTGGCATTTGGATGTGGAGTAAAGTGTTTTACCTTTTAGATTCTGACGGTATTAAGGTAAGTTGACATTATACTTAAAACTCTCTTTTCTATTCCAAGTAAAAAATATACATCCTAGACGTGTGCCTACTACTAGGTTAAACGTAACAGGTTAATTTTTAAGGTTAAATGCTATTTTCATCTCGAATATTATGTATTTTAGAGTACATTTTAACCACCACACAAGGATTCAATATGTCGCCATTACTTGGTTTTAGCATAGTCTCCAGCAAGTTAAAATTGTTCATTTTTACTACAAAATGTGCACCCGATGCTTTGTCCTCAGTGTTGGTTTACCTCTTGTTTGTTTCATAATTATCGTATCTGATGTTTTAATGGTTGGTCGAAATTTTGGTGTAGTTAACCGTTTCGGTGATAAATGGAACACATTTTGCGTCATGTTTCAGTCAATTCTTTTATTTCAAAGGACAACTAAATTTAAATTGTATCTGTATAATTTTCATAATCTTAAATAATAGGCACTGGGCTACCTGCTTAATGTTAAGACGTATAAAAGGAGAGTACTACGATATATTTCTGCCAGATTTGTACAGGTGTATGTGGAGTAAACCGTAATAAACATTTTATCCTTACTCAAATTAGTAAATATGATTAGTACATTTAAGAGGGTTTGTCTATATTTTTTCTGTATGTGTTTAGTTTGGAGTCTTATTGATGGACACCCAAGGAACTCCTGATCCATACTCAGCCACAAATGAAGACGCACTACTTTTTGCATTTAGCACGTTAATAAGTTCTGTACAGGTATGATTGCCTATTTGTATGGGTAAAAATGTTCAATAAAACATTACTTTATGTGCACAATATATAAATTCTGGCTTTTGTAGGTCTATAATTGTAGTTTTATAATAGAAAAATTTGTCAATTATAATACCACCTATAGACAATAAAATAAATGGTACCGATAGCCGTCTTGAAGAACAAAACGAATTTCTTAGTCTTATGAAAAGGCCTCCTGGACATAAAAGAACGATAAAAAATTTCGTTGTAAGTTGAAGTTTTTCTACTACCATGATTTGTCTTCTATTGCAGGACCAATAAAAATAAGTTTTACAATTTGGATTATTTTGATATAAACCAGTGGAGGGAGAATCTAGGTGCATAACTACATTGATGAGCAAAATCATTACATTTATGTACATCGCCAACTACACGAGGGTTATTCGAAGACCCGAACGATCGACTCCAATTCAAATCCGACGCAAGCCGGATTTGAACCGGGGTCTTCAGCACAAAAAGCATGCTGTAACATTAGGCCTACCCCACGGGCGCCAACGCTTATACATATAGCATTCTCAATCATTGGAATATTTATTTTTGGTATAATTTTATAATAATAATAATTAATAATAATAACAACAACAACAATGTTAGTGTTATAGAGCGCTTAATGCAAAACAATGCTTCTAAGCGCTTTCCACATAAAAGAACTTGAAAAATGGAATGACGCCATAAAATATCCTAACAGTAACGAAAAATGAAAATAAACACAGATTTTAAGTATTTTATGTTATTATCATGTTATTTTTTCAACTCATGTTCTCCACCACAGTAATTTAATGTATTATAATTCTATGTGATCATCTAAAGTAATTTATCATGTTTTATATCAACTCAGTTTTTTCACCACAGTAAAATTGCAATGAATTTCATTCTTTGTCAATTCCATAATAATGCTCAGTATTCAAAAAGCCAATCATGCAATGAAACTCA